CTTAAACCGATGATGGCCACGCTCGTACACGAAGATCAACAATGGGGTGTACAAAACCGCAACATCCATCAACATACACATTTCATAAGGGACATTATCTATACACATTTAAAAAAAACGTCAAATCCTCAATCCTTTCACTAGACCAGAAAAAGGCATTTGACAGAATATCGCATCCGTACCTTTATAAAATTCTTAGATTTTTCCAATTTGGGAATTTATTTCCAAACTTGGGTCAGAATTCTTTACGAAAGACCTAAAAGCCAAATCCTGTTAAATCACACCATTACCAACGCCTTTAGATTGTCTAGATCTGAAAGGCAGGGATGCCCCCTGTCTCCCTTACTGTACGTTATCGCTCTAGAGCCCCTTCTATAAAAGATACAACATGACACCAATGTCAGGGGTACATTCAAACCAGGGAAGGATGAGCGGAAACTGTGTGTGTACGCTGATGATACCATTTTCTTTCCAACAACTGAAAAATCATTTTAGAAACTGTCTCATATCAATAATTTGGGACCAGTATTCGGAAGAGTGTCGAATGTTCAAAAGTCTACTATAATGGGATTAGGCAAATGGAAGATTTTCCATTTGATTTAGCAAAGACCATTTGTATCAGATTGTACGGAATTGTCTTTCCCTGTCACCCAAACTACACACACAAAACTGCATGGCAGAATCTATGTGAATGTAATAATGTAATAAATGAAAAATGCTGCATTTTCGTTTTTGAGTTAATTTTACTAACTGTGGCTATAAAAAATTTATATATAGCTAGGTCATATCATGCGCAGCACTTATCGTGACGACGAGCACGCCTAAGGACATAACTCCGTATCCCTGTCTAGACTGATGGACATGGGAGGGGGGGGGGGGTGTGCAGACTGGAGCTATCTATCTATCTATCTATCTATCTATCTATCTATCTATCTATCTATCTATCTATCTATCTATCTATCTATCTATCTATCTATCTATCTATCTATCTATCTATCTATCTATCTATCTATCTATCTATCTATCTATCTATCTATCTATCTATCTATCTATCTATCTATCTATCTATCTATCTATCTATCTATCTATCTATCTATCTATCTATCTATCTATCTATCTATCTATCTATCTATCTATCTATCTATCTATCTATCTATCTATCTAATCTGTCTGTCTCTCTGTCTATCTATCTATCCATCCGTCTGTCAGTCTGTCTGTGCGTTAGCGCGCGTGCGTTGATGTGAATCAGTGGGGATTACAAGTTTAGGCAAACAAGTTTGTTTTCCCATAAATCTCTTATTTAAAACCATACTGGAGGAACTGTTGAGGGCAAGACAGCAAGAATAGTAGTAATTCTCATTAAAATATTGTGTCCAACCCGCAGGATAATATTTAGGATAGGCCTATAAGGTGTTTAGGGGTCGCCGTGGCCGAGCGGCTAGACGCTCGCCGCGGGTCGGAAAGTCGTGGGTTGGCTCCCTGGCGGAGCCGGACTTTTTTCAAAAATGACCTTGGCTCTCAGGTCGACCCAGGCTTGAGTGGGTACCGGGTTCAGTCCCGGGAAAGTAGAGGCGGCCAGCGTGATGCTGACCACCTCACCCTCCTGTGCCGATTGGTCTATAAAAATATAGGTCTAGCCCTATATGCCCTATACGCGTAAAGGCGTGGAAAAGGGTCCTTTACTTTACTTATAAGGTGTTTTTTGAGTTCTTAGAGTATGAAAGTGAGCAAAAGGCAGACAACGCTACAGTTGAGAGATTCGCGTCAAAAGATAGACAGACAGTAGTCGAAGAGAGTGTACATCCAGGAAGAAAGACAGAGAGTGTTGGATATCCATTGCAGTACAGCAACCTGCACTGTGGAGACGGCACCATATAGATTTCCCAGATCCAGAAACAACTTTATGGACTTTGTTAGTTAGTTAGTTAGTTAGTTAGTTAGTTAGTTAGTTAGTTAGTTAGTTAGTTAGTTGGGTTATCGTCATTGCACTCCGGACATGTCCATAGGTGCTCAGATCCTCCCCTCAGTATGAACCCCAACGTCCGATGGCTAATAGTACCAGTTCTATGTTGATTAACAAGTCTTCTGACGTGTCCGGTGTGCGTCTCGTTTTTTGCTGTGCCGATCTTAATTCCCAAGTCTGCCATTCTGGCGAGTGATGTGGATTCACTGCCACCAAAGTCCTCTATCCTTCCTATTTCTCTGAGGGCATTGATAATATCAGCATGATCCATAGGCCGACCGTCGGTAGTGATAGCGGATCCAGCCAACCTGTCAGCTCTTTCATTTCCATCGACGCCTGCGTGTCCCGGAACAAAAATAAAGGTGACTCCACGCACAGTGGACTTCTGTAATGATTCAAGCCATTCTCTTCGCACTGAACCTGCCTGAACCCTCCGGATCATACTCATTGAATCACTGAGTATACATATGCGGGTGTATTTTTGTGTTTCAAGCCAGGCAAACGCTTGCGTCACTGCCATCACCTCCATCGTCATGCTGCTGGTTGTCATGGAGAAGGCACCGTTGGCTTCTTTGACTGTTCTGCCCGCTGAGCGTGCTGTAAATGCCCATGCGCTTCTTCTTTGGCGTATGACGGATCCGTCTGTGTAGATTAGTGCATCTGCTTCGTCTGAATTTTCACCGATGAGAGCGTTGACCTCTGCATTAACAGCAACAGGATTCTCTTCTCTACATCGCCTGTTGAGTGTGACATAAAGGAAACTTTATGGACTTTGCTCTCCAGCAACAAAAATCAGAATTGGTTCAGCGGGTATGCGAGGAGTCTGCCGTCTGCAGCAACAGGATTCCGTCGGTAGTAGTAAATAAATACATTTTTGTCATTTGTTTTTATGTTTCCTGGCTTGAGTTCCCTGTGCATTAAATACTATGCTAACATTAGTATTATTGACAGTAAAGGCGGCTTTCGACTTACCTCAGTCGCATGTCAGTTGCACGATCCCATTTACTTAATTTGCGGTTTTCCGACTACCGCCACCGCTAAGAGTCCCTACACCCCTCATGCATGAGCGGCGTGGGGGACTCTTGCGGTGGTGGTAGTCGCAGGAAAACCGCAAATTAAGTCGTCGGAAGCGCGCAACTGACACGTGACTGAGGCTCTTTTAGGATGTTTTTGTGCCCATTCTGAGGATAGCCAGAAGTAAACTTTCAGACATGGACGGTGAAAAAAGATAAGTAGTTGTCAACAACACTGCTATGTCAAAGCGCAATTGTATGTGATACTACGACGCAAACTGACCGAAGAATAGAAATCGAAAGGAAGAGTTTACTAAAGATGGAAACAAAAGAGCTAGAACTCTGAACTGATTTTTTTTTTCTTTTTTAGTTTTACCACTTCAGATTTACAATCTGCAAGATTATTTTTTTAAGGATGAGAATGAAGCAGCTGCAAATCTTGGGGAACCCTGTCTTACCGTACAGCCATATTACAGAGTGTTGGACTATTAGGGCACCACAAAACTGCTATGAGAAATCACTATAACAACTATAGTGGATTATCATAATCCTGTGGTGTGGGTGGTTGTGTTTTGTTGTTGTTGTTGACTGAACTAGCATTGATAGCACTGATAACTCTACTAGCAGCTACAAGTATGGTGGCGCGGTCTTTATTGCTATTGCCTCTCAAGACAGTGGTTGGGGGTTCAATCTGCCAGCAGATTGTTTGATTGATTAACCCTTTGGAGTTAGCACTCTGAGTTAAATGGAGGAATGTTGCTGTAGCTGTGAGGATAGTGACACAGGGGAACAGTTTCTTATCAGCTGTCCGTACTGGTGGCAGAACACTTATGATTTATAATCGTGTGCAATGACGCTAGTTCACACTGCCCCACTTTACCGTTACTGGCGTTACCCTTTGGAGAAGAAGCTTTTTTCTTTTAGAGTTTCAATACCAAGAAGACAGGCTTATTCTCCGATTAACGGCCACATATTATGGCGGCCAAAAACACACCCTGACAGGGCCTCATTAGGTCATGTGGTTGTAGACATTAAAAAACTTCAAATAGAGAATAACAAATGACGAAAAAAAAAGGAAACCGAAATCGACTGCTTACCGATAAATGACACCCTTATATCTGAAATTGTGGCACAGAAGCAGCAAATAGTGCCAGAAAATCTGCTCTTTGTGGCTGTGGCGCCATTGAAACTGGGCTAAATATGATTGGAACAAGGCGCAGCTAGTGCCGGATTGGTAACACAGTTTTCTTTTAAGTAGCATCCACAGAGCTTCAATGGTTTGAGTGTGAATGTCAGTGTCTTTGGGGTTGAGGAAATTCAGAATTAGGTTTTCAGATTAGAAGGCCGTGGGCCTCTATAAAAGCTGTGGTGCACATCCTGCATTGATCCATACAGCTTGGTGTCACCAGAATGCCAAGTGACCAGACCTGGGATCTTTCTACTGTATGTAGAGAGTCAAGGTTCAGTAGGTATAACATCACATATACTATTCTCAATGTTAACACTTGCATTATAAGTAGGAGTTTTGTGGTGCTGTGGTTTTCATGTTTGGCTGTGACAACATTCTAGACCATCTGCACCAGGGTTTCTCAACCTTCCTAATGCCGCGACCATTTAATACAGTTCCTCATGTTGTGGCGACCCTTTAAAACAGTTTCTCATGTTGTGGTGACCCTTTAATACAGTTCCTCATGTTGTGGCGACCCTTTAATACAGTTCCTCGTGCTGTGGTGACCCTTTAATACAGTTCCTCGTGTTGTGGTGACCCCAACCATAAAATTATTTTCGTTACTACTTCATAACTTCAGTGAATATGTGTTTACCGATGGTCTTAGGCGACCCCTGTGAAAGGGTCTTTCAACCCAAAAAAGGTTTGTAACCCACAAGTTGAGAGCCACTGATCTACACCTTTCTGCCCGGCACCTCGAACTTTAATATATGCCTTTTCGGCTAGGGTGATTATTGATATTTAAATTTAAATAAAATAACATGTAATTATCTCTATTTCCCAGAATTGTTGAACGATGTCTCCTCTCTTGAATTCTATCTGGGCTGTGATTGGTTTTCCAGTGGGATTGATGTCATTCATATACTACTTGTACAAGTGCAGACATCGTATGGATCTGAAAAACAAAGTTGTATTCATAACTGGTGCTTCTTCAGGCTTAGGGGCAGGTAAGCATGAAAGAATATATTACACATTTTAAAAAAATCCTTAAGATTGGACAGTGAAAAAGCAATAAGAAAGCTAAATTAAGTCTAGAGATGTGGATATACAGAATAATAAGTCCTATTTAACCCTTTCGCTGCTACGTTCCCGGAAATAGTTGTCCTCCCTGTGCTAAGCAATGTGAAAAAAAAAAGTCTCCGCTGTGCGCAATACTTTTCTATCCTCCAAACGCAAGAGATGCGTCGGCGGTGAGGGCTATATTTTGTACACCCAAAAAAATTTACCCTGGGGAGTTGTGTGGTTGGTCCGAGTGGTGACAAGTCAGAGGCACGATGGTGGCCCACAAACTTGACTAACGGAGCTATCATCCTTCGGGGAAAGGGGGGGGGGGGGGGATTAATGGGAAGAACTGTTCCCTGTCCGTATCCCAAAATTTGATTGACGAACCTACCACGGCTGCCACTTTAATCATAGTTATTTGTAGTCACCATGTTATTAAATACCAAAATAATAAAAAAAAATTAATAATAATATTTGAGTCGTCCGTTGATAAAAAGTAGCAGGAACTGAAAGGAAAATTTACAATAATAAAAAAAAAAAAATAAAAACACAACTTCGGGGGTTGAACACACGACCCTCTGATTCTAAGGCGAACGTGATACCAACTACACTATACTACCGCTTGACGTATTTTGCTGTGTGAATGATAATAATGACTGATGTACGCAGACTATCAATAACGTGCCTAAGCTTGTAGTCTATCGCCGCCTGCATGAGCACTGTTGTCTGAGAAATGTTTGAGATTCTCAACAATAGTAAAAATATGTCTGTCGACATTATTTCACAGGAGTTTTTAGCAAACAGTCTTTGCTCAAGTACTCTATTTTGAGTTTCTCTGTTCTAAGCATTAGCGACAGACAGCAAAAAAAAAAAAAAAAAGTTCGTCCGAATCTGTGTCTGTCCATCGGGAAAGACGAGAATTTTTAGTGACTGAACTGTTTGAATTTTCAGTAGCAGAAATAGTTAGAGCTGGAGTCATCAAAATTATGCACTACTGGTTTCAAATCAACGGTTCATAAAGACAACTGATCAATTAATTGCCGTTTTGATGGTGCTTCATTGTCGCTGCTCTCTGATTCCGACAATGAGGACGTCGGACAGGCAAACAGCTTTTTTTGGACACGACGGTTTCAGCAGTCGATATTGATGGCCTAGTCAAATCTTTTTGTTCACTGTCAGAAGTAAACATTTCAAAGTCATCTTCGCTATCACTTCTTGACAGAAACTCCATAAATTCTTCATCAACTTTAACAAGTTTTCTTGCCATTTTGTACTAAGTGTAGAATAATACAAAAGCACAAATATATATCAGGGCACAAAATACACAGATCACCGACCACGCTGTCACGGTAAACAAAGCAACGGGATAACGCAGAATGCAGTAAACACACCTTAAACACACCTAAAAGTACGTGCCAGTGCTTTTAATCATATGTAAATGGGTCAGTTTAATCTAAATATAGCTAATGTATATTGCCCTTCAGTCAATAAAATACGAGGTAACAGAAATCTGTAGGAAAAGTCCAAAAACGGCTTAGGACGTCCATAGCACTGGGGGTCAAGAAAAAAAATAACGTCCAAAGACGGGCGTAGCAGCGTACGGGAAATCGGGAAAAGACGTCCATAGCAGCGAAAGGGTTAAGGGTATAAAAACAATAAAATACAGAGTTTCTGAAGAGACTGGAAATTAAAAGAGAGTCACTGAAAGGAAAAAAAAAGACAAGTAAAATATTTTAGACTCATTGAAAGGCAGAACACTTTGTTTTAAAACCATATTGGAGGGAAAAGTTGAAGGCAAATGAGCAAGAGGTAGACTAAGATACATATAGTAAGATAACATGAAGAGGTTAATGAACCACACTTCCATAGAGTATACAACCAGGTTGAGAGACATGAAGCGTTATAAATCCATTGCAGGAAGTGTACATTTATGAATATGCAAGACATATTTATGTAAAAAGAAAAATGGTAGTAACTGTTTTAAAGTTGTAAATTAAAAAGGAACACATGTTTTACAGAAAGCCAATGAAATGGATTGAGTGTCATGGACCTAGTTATAGGTGTACAACTGTTTTTATAGTGTTGTTTTGGAAGACACTTGTTTATGCATCGGTGTACATTTGGACATAACTATTGAACACGAGAGAAAAAGAGAGAGAAATATGGATGGATAGTGAAGTTGGTGTAAAATAGTACTGACAACTTAGTTTTGTTTCTTATGCCATGCCAGTATGTTATTCACCCATTAAAAGTCAGTGTCGACTTTGTTGATGACTTAATCTTCATTGATGACTTCATCTGCTGCTTCTTTGGCTCCCTTAATTTGTTAAGTGTAGATGTCAGGTTTGTTCTCACTATTTAGTCAGTGTTCTTTTTAACAACTCTGTTGGCAGTTCCTGAAAAAGGTTCCTGACATTGAGGTAAATCAGACTTAACTCTTTCATTCCCTGACATTGAGGTAAATCAGACTTAACTCTTTCATTCCCTGACATTGAGGTAAATCAGACTTAACTCTTTCATTCCCTGACATTGAGGTAAATCAGACTTAACTCTTTCATTCCCTGACATTGAGGTAAATCAGACTTAACTCTTTCATTCCCTGACATTGAGGTAAATCAGACTTAACTCTTTCATTCCCTGACATTGAGGTAAATCAGACTTAACTCTTTCATTCCCTGACATTGAGGTAAATCAGACTTAACTCTTTCATTCCCTGACATTGAGGTAAATCAGACTCAACTCTTTCTTTCCCTGACATTGAGGTAAATCAGACTTAACTCTTTCATTCCATGACATTGAGGTAAATCAGACTTAACTCTTTCATTCCCTGACATTGAGGTAAATCAGACTTAACTCTTTCATTCCCTGACATTGAGGTAAATCAGACTTGACTCTTTCATTCCCCACATGTCTCATACATCACATCAAATCTTCTTATATTTAAGTTTTGGTCAGTGTATACTTAATAAATTTTGCAGCTACAGAGGTGTCTTTAATTCATTTTTCGTTCCTTCAACACAGCAAGTGGTTAACATTTTTGTGGTAAAACTTAATTAATGACAATGATAATTTGTGTACTAAATCTTATAGGACTGAATGAGTTAAGAGGAGTAAAAATATACGCTGTGATAAAATCATGGTTTTGAAAATTAAAAAAAGACGGAGACAATAAATATTGGAAACTAAAATTTACTGCCATAGTTATTATAATTTAGGTTATTTGTTGATCTAAGCTTGCTATTTATTATTCACAAAATCCCACCTGATCAGTATGACTGGTACTTTGTGTAGCCATTATGATTGGCACCTTTCCATCTTTGCAGACGATAGTGCAGTGATAGCTATTATTGGTCTCTAGTTCTAACTTCTTAGCATGTTGAACAGGGTGTCTGGAATTAGTTCTGCTAGTCTGACATCAAGGATGTAGCTTAACAGGTGTTGGTGTACCCAACCTCCAGATAGCAGCTTCAAGGGAGAGAACATTCAGTAGTTAACTTGGTGGATATGTTGTGAGAAAACTGTAAGAACAAGATTTCTTGAATGTGTATTTATCTGTTTATATTTTCAGCATGTGCCGAAGCTTTTTATGAAGCTGGATGCAAGCTCGTTCTTTCAGGGAGAAAAGTACAGCCTCTTATGGATCTTAAAGATCGCCTAATAAAGAAAAACGTATGTTTGAAAATTAATGAATATGTTTGTGGCCTGAAGATCAATATGCTACCTGACCTGAATGTTTCTAGGGCTCAGAAGGGAAAACAAAGAATATTAACACTGTAACTTACCATGATATCAGGAAAGAAGTTGGGATGGAACAAGTACTAACCTGCATGAATAGATGTAATATCTGAGGCCGTAAATATGAGCATCGTACCAGCATCTACATAGCACATACCAAAGTGCATAATCTGATGCTGAAAGACTGTACACTCCCCACAGTGTGCAAGTCACACGGGATAACAAACACTAAAGCACATTCTTCAGCCTTGTTCCCTATACTTACCACTACGAAGAGAAACCGGGCCCCAGGAGCAAAGTGTGCAGGGTAAATATGGGGAACCATGAAGGACATGCAACTGACAAGCTAGTTCATAGAGGCAACCCACCTGACAGTCTGACCTGAGCATACAAAACTAAGCGCAAAGAAAAAAAAAATTAATTATGCCACTGTGGGTATTGAACCTGGACTACTGTAGAGTGCATTGATCACTGTGTTACTACAGCTAATAAAGATGCACACATGGAAAATGACTTGCGGATAATTTGTCAAAATTCTGTGAGAATATCCGCATAAGCAGACAATGTTGAGAATTTGTAGGTACTTTCATCATCAGCATGTGCCATGCCAGTAAGCGTAGATTGTCATGTTTTACCGTTTCAAACACTCAACAGAATCAGGTCAGTGTTCCTGTCTCGCCCCATCCATGTTGCCAGGTTTACAGTCACAGAGTAGATATTAGTTCACAGTCACAGAGTAGATATTAGTTCACAGTCACTGAATAGATATTAGTTACAGTCACAGAAAAATTAGTTCATTGTAACAGTAAACAATAGTTCACAGTCACAGAGTAGATATTAGTTCACAGTCACAGAGTAAATTAGTTCACAGTCACAGAGTAAATATTAGTTCATAGAAACAGAGTAGATATTAGTTCAGTATCACAGAGTAGTGGGTTCGCTCCCTGGCGGAGATGGACTTTTCTTCAAAAATGACCTTGGCTCCCAGGTCGACCCAGCCTTGAGTGGGTACCGGGTGCAATCCCGGGAAGTAGAGGCGGCCGGCGTGATGCTGACCACATCACCCATCTTGTGCCGTTGGTCTATAAAAATATAGGTCTAGCCCTATATGCCCTAAGGCGTGGAAAGGGTCCTTTACTTTTTTTATCACAGAGTAGATATTAGTTCACAGTCCCAGAGTAGATATTAGTTCGCAGTCACAGAAAATTAGTTCACAGTAACAAAAATGTTAATTCAGTCATAGAGATAAGTTCACAGTCACAGAGGAAACACCCTCTGTATGAAGCTTTGGCTGCAGGTAAGGGTCAGAGGCTGAAAAAGGGGAAAATCATGGATGGTTTAAGCAGAAGACACAGTAAAACAATTATGCATGCTGGAGAACATTGGGCGAGGAGAGGAGTGGGTCGGAGTACCTTGGGAAAAGTCTAACCGGTGTAGGGTTATGATCACATTGGGCCGGGTGTGCAGAGAGTCGCCAGCGGGTGCTACAGAGGTGGAAGTCCAACAGTTGATTCACTGCAATTCACGCCCAGGTGATCTGATTATCTATACAGATGGTTCGGTGTTGAGAGGAAAGCGAAGTGCCTAGGGGTTCGTAGCAAAAGCCAATGAAACAAGCAATGGAATCAGTAAAGAAAAGCAACGAAATCAGTAGATAAAGAAGGTTATTATAGCCTGGAGAGAATGAAGCACCTGGGTCTGGCCAGCTCACTACACTCAGAGTTAGATATTAGTTCAGAGTCACTGATTAGATGTTTACATTATTTACCATGATAATGCCTTGACATTTTTGTTATCTGAAAGAAAAGAACAGTTGAAGGTTGTTTACACAGAATGAACAATTTAAACAAAAGTAACATGTCTCAATAGAAATATATTTTATATAATTGTTTGGATGTCAGTGTGCACAATGGTTAGATCATGCCTGTTGACCCAAAGATCTTGGGTTTGATTCTGCTTCAAGGCAGACTTTTTAATAATTTACCTTTACTCCCTGGGCAAGCAAGCCTAAAGTGGATATTAGGAACACTCCTAGGAAATAAATTCATCTTACATGACACTGCAAATTTTTGTTTTGTTTTTATTCTTCTTCTTCAGCATTCCAAGCCCTCGAGGTTCATTGCTGCAGATATTACCCGCCTCCATTCTTCTCTCTGGTTGGTCTTTTCTTTCCAGTTGGTGACGCCAAGTGTTTGCAGGTCTGTCTGGACATTATCTCTCCATCATCTTCTTGGTCTGCAACATGGTCTACGACTATTTATCTCCCTTGGGTATACAGTTTTCTCTTCTCTGTCATCTGACATTCTCTCAGTATACCCCAATCATTTCAGTCTATTAGTTCTCATTATGCCAGTGATCAGTGGTGATTTAAACAGATTATGCATTTTGTTGTTGCTTCTCACTCTCCATTCCCCGCTGTTTGCATCTTTGATGGGTCCAAAGATTTGTCGTAGGACTCTGTTTTCGAAAACCTGTAATGAGGCTTCATCTCTTTTAGTTGTGCTCCAAATTTCAGAGCCATATAAAAGGACTGGTCTTATCAACGTTTTATATATTAATATTATGATCTTGGTGTTGCAAGACAGACAATTTGACTTTAACAGATGTTGAAGATATTTTGTTTTTGGTCTATAAAAATTTACCTTATATGCCACTGGTGTATTCTTCTTCATAGCATACACCAGCTGTAAACTGTGGCTGGAAAGTTCTGGTTGTTTGTCCACTCCAGTTTGAGTTTTGCTAGCACATCTGTTTCACAAATCTGGCTTATTTATTTGCAGTCTGTTGGTTCCTTGCCTCCAGACAGATGTATTCTGACTTTAAATGAAACACCCCTAATTAGTCGCCTCCTGTGAGCAGTGGTTCTATTCCTTGTTCTTCAGAACGGAGCACCGGAAACAAAATAGGGAGCCACTGATGGGGAAAAATGTCCTTAACTATTTTCTTCAATAATTGCTGATTTTAAAATGCAGATTCCTGATCGTTCCACTCCAGCAATTGTGACCATTGACCTTGAAAATTTACCGAGCATCGCCAGCAAAGTCAACCAGGTGGTAGCAGCCTTTGGGCATGTCGACATTGTCATCAACAATGCAGGGCAGAGTTACAGAGGAAGAGCTGAGGATACCAAACTTGATGTTGATATCAAATTAATGAATGTCAACTATTTTGGCCATATTGAGATAACCAAAGGTATGTTGTTGTTGTTTTTTCCAACTAATGGCATGATGTATTGTTGAATGCTGAATTTTATCAGTGTTCCCTTTGTTGGTTCTGGAGCCCCATTTTGTTACAGAAAAAGAATTAACTCTCTGCTCCACATCAAGCATGTCATAAAAGCTACTTTAGGAGTTTGTTGAAAATTGGATATTTTGGGCAAAGGCACACATATTTCAGCCTAGCTTGATGTTTGAGATTTGAACAACGGATCAACATCATGGCATACGGGTAGTAACCCATAAGTGCTCTGTTCTTCTTCTAACTCAAGTCTGAGTCAGAAGAAGCTCAGCACAGTGTGCAGGCTCTGTAGCACCTGCGAGGATCCTGAAATACTTTGGGTAGATTTTTAACTCCAAATTTTGCCCAGGTTTGCCCAACTTCCAAGGTTTATTTTACATACACAACAATACACACAGGCGTCCGATCTCAATACCTAGAGACCAGGGAGAATTACTAGAAGTCCAAGTCCACGTGAAAAAATCCCAACCCTTACCGCGGATTAAACCTGGAATCTCTAGCACTCAAGGCAGACACCATGCTTCGAGACCACGCAGCTTCCCTAGCTGTAAACTACAACACATTTCAATTGCCTTTTAAAAACAAACAGAAGAAGAATTTGTTGTTTTTGTTTGACAGGATGGCATTAGTTTGTCAGAAAATATCTCTGTTTTCTGTAAGGTTTTCTATGGTGAATATCCGAGGCAGAGAACTATCCTCATTATTGTCTAGTGCCTTGCCAACTGGCTTCTTTACTACCATCATCTCCAAGAGCATGTGTCAGTTCTTGCTGTGACACCTTACCATGCCGTAACAAAAAGTTGTCAAGAATGTTCTTTTGTATTCTGTTTCTCTGTCCATAAATTGGCCACATAAATGACGCCTGTCTCCATCCTACCCGTGTTGGTTCTGGAGCCCTCAAATGGGGGGAAAAAAGAATTGATTCACTGCCCCTAAATAAGCATGTTATAAAAGTTGACTAATTAGGGATATTTGCTTCTTAGAGTGCATCTGCTTGTAAGGCAAGGAACCAACTGTCTGCATATAAATAAAAACCAGATTTGTAAAATGGATGTGCATGCAAAACCCAAATTCTGGAACAAGACCAAAGTCTAGGAGTGGACGAACAATCAGAACTTTCTCCCGGAGTTAACAGCCAGTGAGCGTGAAGAAGAATTGGCCAGATAAATTACGCCTGTCCCATCCGATGTTAATGGTGTTATTGTGGATTCTCACATGTTTTCCCTGCCTTCCCTTGAAGACCACTGGCAGTCATGCTGCTGTTTATACTGGGTTTGGTAGGGTATGTCTCATATGAATGAAAACTATGCAAATGATGTCACTGATCAAGAAATGGGGCGGCCCTGGAAGACTGAATGATTGAAAAATAATATTTAGAAAAACAAAATGTCACATGCACAGGAAAGAAGTTCAGATATCCCAGCTCTGTAAGAACTAGCACAATAAAAATACCGGTAACTAATTAAAATTTTCGGGACAGTCACAGGAGAATAAAAAAATAAAGAAAATTCAGCATTAGAACTGATAATTCCTGTGTGGGTTCCGGGGTCAATTTTGGGTGTAAAAAGAATAGACCCACTGCCCTCCCTAAAAAGCATGTCATAAAAGGCAATTAACTGATTGACCTTCAACCCTACCAGGACATCACACCGAGCAGTAAACACCCAGTGACACAGAGTGCCACTATTCAAATGAGGATCACCTGGGGACAGGTCCCAGAAACCCCGTTCAACCATTAGGTTATACTGGGGCCCCCAACCACAGCCAGGATGCGGCTTTAAAACAACAACACAATTACATCCCATAACTGGGATGGCGACAATGGTTGTTTTGAGGCAGTTAATTAGGGCTGTTTCCTTAAAAGTCAGAGTCCATCTGCCTGAGAGCAGACAAACCAACATTCTGCATACAAATAAGCCAGATGATCTGTAAAGTGGAAATGCATGCAAAATTCAAGCTTTGGAACAAGACCACAGTCCAGAACAAGCAGAACTTTCTGCAAGGGTTTACAGCCAGTGAACGTTAAGAGGAAGACAAGAAGAACAGATAATGACAGGTAGCTAGATAATTATTCCCCTTCAGGACTGCTGTCTGTTGGATTAATACTTCAGGGATGAGAGTCAGACAGGAGCAAATCTGAGAAACCCTGTTCAGCTGTATGACACAGTTATATTAGGGCACCCCTACAGTTACCAAGTCATCTGCTGTCACATGTGTTGGTTGGATATGATGCTGCTAAAATAGAAAAAAGGAAGTTTTTTTTTTTTAAATTTTGTATTCCACACTGAAAAATGATGCAGAAGTGTGGGCAATGAATTAGCAGCTAGAACATTAAATTGAGAACCTAGAAATGTGAATACACAGAAGAAAATTCCCACATGTATATATGGGAACAGAAACGAGTAAATATAGATTTCAGTACATTTGGCACTTAAAACATTCACAAACTTAAAAGAGTAAGATTACTTCTGCGGTGTTGGTGACAGCCTTGGTTCTTGTGCTCTGCAAGCAACGTAGATCATTAACAGGACTGACCAATCTCAGGAATATGTAACAGGAAACACAGACAAATCAAACAAAGGACCCACCTCCAGAGAGGGATACAGTAAAAACAAGTATACATACCACAACCAGAACTCAGGAGACATAACCAGCAAGACAAGCAGGCTCAACGGGATCAAAGTGTGACCCAGATATATAGGATGGACAATCTACTTAGAGAAATTAAACCATAACCTTTGGCACATATACACAAATCTCTGCCAGTAAACTTGAACATCAGGTTATGCATAGATTTTTTTGGGTTTTTCCTAACATCGGAATCAGAAATAAATATAGAAGGTCATGAGAAGCTGGAAGTAAGCAGAGAATTCATGGATGAAATAAAATAGAGAAGGGATTTACTTTGGCTACTTTGAATGACATAACTCTTCTTTAAAATTTGAGTAAAGGGAGACAGTGCTAAATGTGGGAAAGAAACATTAACCCTTTTGGTACCAGGGAACTCATGTTAATTGATTAGTTCAAGAAAGTTTACTATTTTTACATTTATTTTTGTCATAGACAGTTATTATTATTAACTCATTATACCCTTAGCCCCTTCTGATCCTCGGTGTTTATTTCAACTTGTTTTTCAACTCGTTCAGACTCAGATACTGCATATTTAAAGTAGAATTTCTAGTTATAAAAAGTATTGACTAAATTATTTCCTTGTAGCAAAAGATGAACAACAATTTGTCTGAGTGTACAACTAGAGGAATATACATAAAGTAGTGTTGATCTATTGCAGCCAGCCTTCATTGAGGGGACAATGCTCCATTAATTGATTGTGACGTTGGTTGACATTTTGAATATTTATTATCATTTGTTGTTTTATGTTTCTTACTGTAGCAATATTGCCACATATGATTCAACAGCAGGGTGGACAGATTGTTGTCATCAGTAGCGTGCAGGGAAAAATCAGCATTCCACACAGATCTGCTTGTAAGTTCAAGCTATTTGTGCTATGTTAATGTTATCCTGTAAAGGTATTGGAGAGTTTGAGAAATGTAACCATAATTTTGAATTGCTTGTGTGGGTTTTGTAACCTCATTTTTGGAGGGAGAAAGAACAGACCTACTGCCGTATCTTCACCTTATTGAGCAATTGGTGTCTCAGCCTGTTGTGTCCTGTGCGGAGTCTAAAGATAACCACTTGTTCTCTTTGGTCAATTTGGTAGTATGCATCATCCTTCTTGTGGCCTAGATGTTCAGAATCCCATTTGTACTATAGGTACTTCTTGTAAACCTCTTGGCCTCATCATATGTTATGTCTATATCAGGCTGAGGTAGTCTTCCACCTTTCATTGCCAGTCTGTCAGCCTCTTCCTTTCCATGTATGTAGCAGTGGGATGGAATCCATTGTACTACGACTCTTTTTGATTTCTGAATCAGTCCGTGGAGAGCAGCTCTAATTGAAGATATAGTCTTAAGCCATGGGTTTATGGAAAGCAAAGGAAAACTGCTACATTATTTAGCTCTAGATAGTCATCATGCAGTTTCGATCTGTGGGGATTATGGTGAGCTACCTGTGATGCCCAATGATTTTAGAGCTGCTGGCAGGGAAAAAGACAGAAGAAGAGAAATAAAGGAGTCATACAAATTGGTATCTGGAAGATCAGGATAGTGATCGAAAAGAAAAAAAAATTAGAGACCATCAGAAGATAAATGGAAAAGATACATTTAGGTATGCATGGTATTAATGAAGTCAACCAACTAATCTAACCATCCCTTTATGGGATGAAATTTTTCGTTATTTAAAGCCCTACTATGGCTCTTGCCAGGGTCCGCAATATAACCCGGCCATAAATATCGTCTAATGGCTGAACGCCGTTTCTGGGTGATCCTCATCCACGTGTTGGCACTTTGTGTCATCGGGTGTTTATCGCTTGTGTGATTTCCTGGTGGGGTAAAAGAAGATAGAGAGATGAAGTCAAGCTACCTTCAATTTCTCAATATGGGACACATTTCTTTGTTATTTTAAAATCTCACCCCGGCTTATGTCGCTGACCCTAATATAACCTAACGGTTGAATGAGGGTTTCTAGAACTTGTGCCTGAGTGATTCTTATTCGAATGGTGGCACTTTGTGTCGCTGGGTCCTGGTAGGGTTGAATGACACTTCAGTGAAGTCAGCTGTATAGTGTGCCTATTATTCTTCTCTTTCTCCAGTTACCCGATCAAAGTTTTGGAGGAGATTAAAGGATTTTCTGTGTATTCTTTCAGATGTGTTGTATAAGCTGGTCTTTAGTTCTTTAAGGATCTTCTTGAGTTGAGTTGAGTCAAGAATGGACATCACAGCAACTCGGGGCATTTCCATGTGTGCTCCGTCCTCATCTTCAGCAGCCAGCTCAGAGTTTTAAGGCTCTTCTTAATGCTGTTGTTCCATCGTTTGCATGGTTTCCCCTTGCTCTGTTCAATACATTTCTTCAATGTCGCCGTACATGTCACCTGGTATTTATGTCAGTTAGCCAAGTGACCATTATCTGTTGTTCTTTGGCGAATTGCCTGACTTGTTTTAGTCTGGTCTTTTTCCAGTTTCTTCATTAGATGTGTAGTGATTGTGAAATAAAATCTGACAAGTTATATTTTCTGCAGGACTAAGTGTAAAACCAAACTAGAATTTATATTTGACCCAGCTCAAACATAAATGGTGAAGTGGTTTCGGTCAAATACAGATAGATGGTTTCTTTACAGAGATCGTTACGTTTAATAAACAGACATCTAATAGAGTCATATTTATATAAAGTTGCCTTAGCTTGGAAGTCAGGGTAAAGTCCTTGCCTGCTTAGGACTGCAGGTGTTTCTTGGAGCAGAACTTCTAAGGATAGCATAAGTTGAAGTAGTTGCTAGATAGAACTGAAAGAGTTAATGTTGTCACCTGAGGACTGTTTACTTCTCCCAGATGCTGCATCCAAGCATGCCTTGCAGGCATACTATGATTGTCTGAGGGCAGAGGTGGCACAGTATAACATTGGTGTTTGCCTGGTGAGCCCATACTATATCAACACAAATCTCTCCCTGAATGCACTAACTGGAGATGGATCAAGTTATGGCAGTGAGTATCTGTGTATTCTTCTTCTTCTTCTCATTCACCGGCTGTGAATTATGGGGGAAAGTTGTGGTTGTTTTGTCGAATTGGAGTTTTAGTTTTGAACCAGGACCTGAGTTTTGCGTGTACATCCATTTTAATGGCTTATTTGTGTGCAGCTATTGTTCCCTGCCTCTCGGGCAGATGTACTCCAACTTCAGAGAAAGACGGTGATCCTATCTCTAGGACGACTGTGGCTATTGTTCAAGAAACCACCAACAGGAGATGTTACTGGTCTACGCTGCGGGTAAATCTCTTGGTCAAGGGCTGAGTCTCAGCAGTTCAAATTTTCTTTCTCTCGACAGACTTTTAACAGAGAGTTTTCATTTTAGTGGTACATTCAGCAAGCAGACTTTTCTCATGTTAGAGTTGAGTTTTAATAGATGTTTTCACCCATGCTTTGGGGGTTGGCTGATGTGAGCCAGGCTGGACACTACAACTCTGGGGGCCACCAGCTCCGAGATCCCCTGCTAGCTCTGTTAATGCTCATTTGAGACATTATCCATGGCGCACGACAGGGACGTGCTGCAGGAGTCTTGCATAAGGTTCCATAAAACCAGCACAGAGAAGGCTCACGCCCTAGGTGAGGTACGGAGTATCTCCTTATACACATCCCATCTGACCTAACTTTCTCTCTCACCTATGACAAAAATCACCATGCCATGTATTTGTGTATAACACAGTGACTTTTGTTATTGTCTTAAATGTAACAACTAAATGCTTACGGAATGCAGACTCACCTTTGAAGTTCACAACTAGGTGTGGTTTACATCTTTCAAAAAAATATCATCAGGTGCCTTGACCACTGGTGTGGGTGATCATGCCTCTCCACAATCTGCCACGCAACAAGACTGTCAAGAATCTTCTCTCGTTGTCTTTCTCTATCCCTCCTTAAATAGATCTTTCCAGTGGTCACAACATGTTCTGTTTTCCCCCTTCTTATAACATGGCCTAAAAATGATGACTCTTTCCTTCTGATGTCTGTGATTAGTTGTCTTTGGGCTCCCACCTCTTTCAAAACCTCTTGGTTGCTCTTTTTGGCTGTCCAAGGTATTTTAAGCATTCTTCTGTAAAACCACATCTCTGAGGCCTCAAGAAATTGTTTGGCCTGCCTACCGATTGTCCAGAACTCACAGCCATATGTTAAAACTGGATGTCTTTAGCAAGCAAGAGTTCATTTTCTAGCCTTCAATGACAGAGATATATTGCATAAGATGTTCTTCATTTTATAAAATGCCTGTCCTATTCTGTTTCTTAACTCAATTATGCATCTTCCATCTGATGTTATCCATGAGCCAAGATACTTAAATTACTGTACGTGTACGAAAGAATATAAGAAGACAAATATGTATATAGCTATAACTGTTAGACAAGAAGACACACACAGAGAACATTTTCCACGGCCTGATTAATTAAATAATGAGACTAACAAAAACACCATCCATAAAGTAAAGCATATCAAAGAAATAGGCACCATTCATCTATGATCAGGCAAGATTTCAAGTTAAGAGCCATTGTTGAAAGTCTTTCAGTCTTTTCCTGAGCATCCACATAGCCTAGAAAGTGTAAAGGCCCAAAACTTGACACTTCAGTGGCAGTATCTGGTATGGGACTATCTTTAAATAATACATTTCATTTGAAAAACATAACTTGATAACTTTGCTGTAAAATAGTTAATGATGGAATTTAGCATCTTCATCTGGGTTCATCTCGGTAAAGATTCCACAAGTCCATATTGGCTCCATCTCCCTCTTCAGCAGCCAGCAAAGAGTGTCCATGATGAAGATACCCCATTGTCTTCTGTTTAACTACTCATCTTGCCTTTCCCATTAGTCTTAAATAGTGCCCAGAGCTCGCAGACACTCCAAGCTGCTTCACTCTCTCTAGTTTACAGATGTAACTTAACAAGAATATGTTAAGTAGATAGTTATGGAGGAAAATTATCGCTAGCATTCTTAACCTTGGCATGTAATATTTAAGTTGCCAGTTTGATTTTATTTTTTTTTATTTTTTGTTTGTTTAAAAAATCATTATCTTCAGACACTGACATTCCTATTTTTTGAATAATTGCAGAAGTGGACACCACCACGAAGGCTGGACTGACGCCAGAATATGTTGCCAGTGAGATTGTAAAGTGTGTGACTAGAAAAGTTGATGAATTAACACTGGCACCGTTGCATGTTCAGCTTGCTATTTGCTTACGGGCGCTTGCTCCTTGGTTGTTTTTTAAATTAATGGCAATCAGAGCTAAGAAAGAGAGCGCTCAGTATTCAAAAAATAATTAATTCAGGAGTTGTTCAGTCTTATTTAGCTGTAGCAGAGCATGTTTTGTTATTTGCAAGAGAATTAATGCACAATTTAGTATTGATATATCAGAAGTGAAAACTTTACATGATACATTTTAAAGTTAGTGGCATGATCCCAATGAGCGTATCCCAAACCAACACCAGCATTTATTAGCCATTGTGTGGTTTTACAAGGCAGTTTTATTAGGCTTTCTGAATGGTTGAAATTAAAGGTTAAAGTCTAGAGGATCCAGGTCATTTCACCGGGTTTGATTCCTTATGGCTCGGTCTCTCTCCACAGAATGGCTAGCCGCCTGCTGATAGCATCACACAAAGCATGAACTCCATAGTTTCAGTGACAATCCTAGCGATCTCCAAAAAGATTGCACTCGTGAACTGAACGGGGCAGCCCTGATATGTATATCATTATCAGTCACTGTAAACAGTCTGCTGCCAAATAAAGTACGCATGGTTGTGAAACTCTGTTTACAGCCCTAAGCCACAGGTGATGGTGTGATAATTTTACATGGTGGAAATATTGAGCATTGTTTATTCTTCTTCTGCCTTTTTATCCCCCAATGGAGCATAGGCCCTCAACCAACTCACGCCAAGTCGTTCTATCCTTCGCCATTACATGGAGCTCTCCCCATGTCCTCCCAATCTTTCTAACCTCATTCTCCAGCTCTCTTCTCCATGTGTTTATTAATAATGAGGATTTCGTGTACTCAAGCGTAGGTAATGCCTTCGTCCTCTCACGGGATGCAATTTTTTCTTATTTTGAAGCCCCACCCTGGCTTTTGCCGGGGGCCATGAATATAGCCGGGGCATTGATATAGCCTAGGCATAGATATGACCTAACAGCTGAAAGAGGTTTTTGGGACCTCTACACGAGTGATCCTCATCCACATGGTGGCACTTTGTGTCACCAGGTGTTTATCGCTTCTGTGAAGTCCTGAGGGAGTACAACTACCTACCTATCTCAAACGTAGGTGTGCATAAAAGGTTGGCTAAGGAGGGTTAGCAGGAAACTGGCTGTCCCATGGTAGAAACGTTAGCTGCAATATTTAGTAACAAGTTTACAAAAGGAATGGCATGTAGTAATATATGGCCTATATGCTGTTAGGAGTTGAAAGACATGGGGGAAGAAAAGAAGATATCCAGGTAGAAGTAGTGACAATTTGAATGCTTTTTATACTGACTTGAGAGCTCATGTAAAATATTGTGATAAATTGATTCAGTGTACACTTTTATGTTTAATGAGCAACTTTTAAATGCTATGCAATTATTTGCTGAGAAACTTAAAATGACATGTCCAAATTGTTAGATGAAAGACATTTTAAAGACCTCAAATATCTATGGAACATCATAATATCAAATCATTGGACATATGTCACAAATTTTGCAGAACAAAGATGCAGAACTGACACCAAAAGAGCACTATTCAATACAGTATTTTTACCAGCATTATGTTATCAGTGCCAAATGTGGAAATTAACAACCAAAAACAAAACAACAGAAATGAAATGTCTACGGCGAATCCTAAATGTAGCTAGAAGAGACAGAGTTAGAAATGATGATTTAAGAAAGAAGTTGGGATGGAACCCCATTAAACTACATCAAGAGACAACAGATCAGATGGTTTGGACATGTGTCAACACTGTCACCAGACAGTACACCACAGAGAGCCCTGTTACTTAGACATAAGGGAAGCAGAGCCAGAGGTTGACCACACAAGTGATTAATAGATGGAATATCCTAGGCCATGAATACCAGCATCACCCAAAACCTCTTCAAAACCTGATACTGAAAGACAGTACAGGACTAGAGAAAAAGAAGAAAGACGTTTGAAAGTTTTAAGACAGACTGCAATAAAAACATGTTAGAAGTAAGTACAAAAGATGCACCCTTCTATTTTGTCAGTTTTTGCTTCATGCTGCTAGGCTTAGCACTTTAATGGATGGTGGGTAACCAAGTCAGGGCATGCTCAGTTGCTTGGTGCACTGTGGTGTTTAATGTCTTGTGCTGTACAGATCATTCAAACAATGGTAATAGCAAGTGAAAACCAGCGCCTCAGTTGTGTATTAACAAGACAGAAGTAATGGTTGATAAGACCGTTGGTTTCTCACATTTATTCCCAACTTTTTTGGCCACAAGTCATTGTTGGGAAAGAAAGCCTACTTACAGGTACATTTAGCCTGCTACTGTAAGCGTATTTTACGTAGAGTTTGAGGTTGGACACATGTAACTCTGGAGTTTACAACCAAGTCTGAGGCACTTCCCTCAAAAGATGAATAATGTAGAAGAATAAAGTGTTAGGAACACAACAGTAATCTGGCAAATGACTTCTCAGATTTAGACATTTTTTTTAAAAATTGTCTATTCAGAGGTTTAGTGAATTATGACCAGATAATCACAAAACAGGCACTTAAATGGGAAACAAATGGAATGAGGAAACAAGGATATCCCAGAGAAGCCAAGAGCAAATGTTGATGAGAGGCTAGAGATTCTGGGCTCAATTCCATCCATGATATCAAAAGAATTGCACATAATATAATAGAATGGAGGAAATAAATAGAATGTGAGCCCTGTTTGACGTACAATGGCATAACCAGTTGATAGTGATGAAGTTTGAAAGTTTTTTTTACTAATTGGTTATCTTCTTCTGCATTCTGAGCCCTTGAGGTTCATTGCAGCAGATATCACCTGCCTCCATTCATTTTTGTGGTACGTGCTCTCTTTCCAGTTGGTGACTTCAAGTGTTTTGTAGTTCTTTCTGGCTGTACATTATCTCTCCAACATCTTCTTGATCTACGACCATTGAACTCTCTTGTGTATACAGTTTTTACCTCTCTGTCATCTGACATTCTCTTAGTATGCCCAAGCCATTTCAGTATTGGTTGATTAAGCTTATGCTTTGAAAAAGGAGATTTTAAATTTATTACATTTTGTCAGTTGACATTATTGATTGTAAATCAGATTTGATTGTGACAGCGTTGATTGTGAATTAGACTTGGTGATTAATAGTGAGTTGATTGTGAATAAGATTTAGTGGTAAATATTGTCAGTGTTGATTGTGAATGAGACTTAATGGTAAATAGTGACGGAGTTGATAGTAAATTAGACTTAATTGTGAATTAGATTTGATGGTCAATAGCGACAGAGTTGATTGTGAATTAGATGGTGGTAAATAGTGACAGAGTTGATTGTGAATTAAATGGTGGTAAATAGTGACAGAGTTGATTGTGAATTAGACTTGATTGTAAATAGTGACAGAGTTGATTGTGAATTAGACTTGAATTTTTTTGTTTTTGGAAATTTGTTCTCCATTCACTTTGGTGCAAAAATACAAAATATTGTGAGTTTATGTTAAATAGTTGTGAAGTTGTGGCATTTTTGTTAGTCTACATTGCTGTCAGAATGTTTTTTTTCCGCTTTTGCACCAATTTACAGCCACATGATGATGATGATGAGGTAAAACAAGATTACTTTAAAAAAAAATTCTTGAAATTTGTTCTTTACTTAGTTTAGTGCAAAAATACAAAATACCATAAGTTTATGTTAAGTAGTTGTGAAGCTATAACATTTTTAGCAAACACTAGAAATATGCGGTCTCTGGGAAAGTGCAAGGGTTAATAGGCTTCATACGTTCATACCTAGAAGCCCATGATGCGCCAATTTTATGACTCTCTTAACTACCCCCTGGGCCTGTGATGCTAAACCCCCTGGGACTCAAAGAGTTAAACATTTATATTGTAAGATGAGGATGACATTAAAATTATGACATAAAAAAAAAAAAAATATGTTTAATGCACTATCTTTTTTAGGTGCTTTATTAATATTTTAGCCAAGCAGGGAAAATCCACAAATTACAGGACCCTCTGATATTTCAGGGGGTGGTATATAGGCTGTATGCAGTCGTGGGACCTAGGCTGCACTCTCTTGTGGGACGTAGGTGGTTTGGGGTTAGGGCCAGTTCTATATGTTTTGGGGTCATTAAAAGCATCATAAAGCCGGGAAACCCCAGTCTTACCACCCTCTAAAATGTTGGACTGTCCTGTGATGTCATCTGGGGTAGGATATTAATAAAGCCCTTTTTTACACTTCATCATTACTGTTAAATGAATGTACTGTATTTTCCGTCATCATGAATAAAAGTAAAAATAAAACAGTAGTTTCTCTGCAGATTCTTCCCAGGTTCAGGTATTTTATGTTTTAAGCAGCCAGAGAAATGCAGTTTCTCCCAAAGAAGACCAGTACCCGAGTAAAGGTCAGTTCCAAAGACACATTTCGGATCAAGGCAGTGATCATTTTTCTTGCCATATGATGAGGTGGAAGGTTCTGGAAAAGATTGTGATAACCAAGAAAATCAAGACTATTAAAAGGCAAAAGGTGTGTAAATTGGGGACCACAAAGATCTTCTTCATTGCGTTCACTGGCTGTAAACTGCAGTGAAAAGTCCTGGTTGTTCGTTCACTGCTGGATTTTAGTCTTTTTTTTTTCAGATCTTGAGTTTTGTGTGCACATCCGTTTTACAAATCTGGATTATTTGTATGCACACTGCTGGTTTCTTGCTTCTCAGGCAGATGCATCCCCACTTCGAAGATAGCAGGTCTAATTAGTAGACTTTTACGACATGCTTTTTAGGGAGGCAGTGGGTCTGTTCTCTTTTTGCCCCCACAATGGGTCCCCACAACCCACACGGGGGAGACAGTGATCAAAGATCTATCAGATCAAAAATCCTGAGGAAGGTGCTTGGGGAAGAATCTTCTCTTGTTGTCTGTCTTCACCTGTTTCATAAATCTTTAAATATCAGATTTTTGTACATTTTTTTTATAAAGGTCTCTCTCATTAAACATAATACACATATGATTGCAGTGTTATGTTAAACCAACACTGCTGTATGGTTGTGAATCTTGGAATGTGCTTGAACAAAGTAAGAAAAAGAATTTGGGAGGCCTCGTAGATGTGGTTCTTCTTCTTCACATTCACTGGCTGTAAAC